ACCCATCCATTGTGAAGCTTTTATCCAGCTAAACGCTGTGTGTGGGGGGTGCAGATTGTGATTTAAGTGTCATAGACTCCTGCTATTCTTATCAAGATTTTTTGAGTAAATTTGTTTGTGTGTGTGTATATGTGTGTGTGAGACTCTGTGTGTGTGTGTGTGTGTGTGTGTGTGTGTGTGTGTGTGTTTACTGTGTTCTAAAAACTGTAACTGGTTAGGTTATTAAAAATAATTTCCAGTTACACTGGTTTTACTGGAGCATGTCTGTGGAGCTTCTTACAAGGCCATTCCAGAAGTGATGCCATGATGTGATTAGCTCCCTTTTTATTGTTCAGTTGTTCTAAGTGTAGATGTTCTAACTGGTTTACCAATAACTTCTGGTAAACGGAATAACCGTTCCACCCATTGTGTTCTTAAGGAATCTTATTAGAATGGGCCAGCAGTTCCATATCATCATGAAGGAAATGTAATATTTATACAATAAATTTCATTGACCCACTGAGCGTTCCCTTWGGATACATACACACCACAAGTCAACATGAAGATAAGTGCTATTGTTATCCTTTGTTAATTTTTCTGCCCAAATTGCCAAACACTTAATTGAGCAATTTCAATTTTTATAACTTCCCATGACAGCTGTGCTTTTTAAAGGATATTTATATGTAAGTGTATATCAATTGGAAGTTCTAGTTGGGAAATTAAAAAGAAAGTGTGGGGGAGGAAGGAGATGTAAAGTATCTGGTTGGGCGAGGGGGCAGGATTGGAAAGGGTGGGTTCAGGGGAGTTCAAGTTTATAATTAAACATTATTATATAGCTAGATTTAATCCCTGACCAACAAAGTATTTGAGCACATTATGCTGCCTTCATCAGCATATTCTTTGATATTAACAATAAATGCTGGCTGAATTGTTGAACACACAAATCTCCAAGAAGCAAGAATGAATTGGGCTTACCCTTCTGCCCCCTGGCTGCCTTCTACTGCCTTCCCTATTCCTACAAACCCAGCATTTATAAGGAAAGATTTCCTAAATATAATCACCTTTTAAGCACTATAAATAATATTTCTTTCTCCCTTCTTCCCTCTGAAAAGGCAAAGTTAACATTTTTTCCCTTCTATCACTGGGATTCAAGAAATTAATTAAGTGGGCTAAAATACTTAGGTGTCCTAGTTTGTAATTATCTCTGCCCCAGATTACAGAGAGTGGAAGAGCCCTTGTATACTTCTAAGAATCATAGAGTTGAAAACTTGTAGTTTTTTTATTAGAACTTTTAGTCTTTTAAGTGGTTACCTATTCACTGCATAAATACCTTTTTACACTGTCAAGTGCACATTCTACCTTTTCTTGAATAGTTACTTTATTGGATCCTCTTGCCTCAGCCTCTCAAGTAGCTGGAATTACAGGTGAGCACCATAGAGCCTGGCTTAAAACTGTTTTTAAATGGTATTCTTTACATGTTCACCATTATCTCATTACCCTTCTCTGATGTAATTAGTATCTCTTTTAAAGTGTGATGTCCCAAAGTAGAAATTAGCACTTTACATCAGAAGTTGGCATCCTTGGGGCTCAGTTATAGAGCGCTTGCTTAGCACATCTGAGCTACTGGGTTCAATCCTCAGCACCACATAAAAATAAATAAAATAAAGATATTGTGTCTATCTACAACTAAAAAAAAAAATGTTTAAAAAAAAAGTTGGCATCTTTTGTCTGTAAAAGGCCAGATATAAATATTCTAGTTTGGGATGGCCAGATGATGTCTATCTATCACTACTACTGAACTTCTGCCTTTGTAGTGTGAAAGCAACTATAGACAACACTAAACAAATTAGCATGATTGTATTCCAGGAAAACTAAATTTACAAAAATAGGCGACTAGGGTAGATTTTGCCCATATATCATAGTTTAACTAACTAGTATAGACCCCACTGTAATTATATCTTCACTTGTGAATACAGTTCTTGAAGTAACATTTTTGTAAGATTGTATTAAAATATTTTGTATTATATTAGCATAGCTACTGCAATCTTCTCTTGGTTACTGTTTGAATGAGATCGTCGAAAGTATATCTTATAGATAGCATGTAGTTGGATCATATTTTATTTTAAACCAACCTTTTTGTTTTCATTGACACATTTAGTGTGTCTACATTTAGTGTGATTACTAATAAAGAACATATTTATGCCATTTTCCTCTTTTTGTTTTCTACAAATGTCTCTTCATTCTTGTATTCCTTCAGTACTTTATTGTATAAAATACTCGTTAGTAAATAATTCCATTCCCTCCATCTTCCTTTATTATCCATACAAATTATTATCTTTTGTAAAGCAATCAACATGTTTTGTAAACTTAATATTCTGTAAAATCAGATAAGAGAAGAAGAGAGTTACAAGCAAAATTATGTTTTATACTCTTTTTCATATACATAAAAGTTACCTTTAGGGGCTGAGGGCATAGCTCAGTGGTAGAGTGTATGCTTAAGCACATCCAGGGGCCTGGGTTCAGTCTCCAGCATCACAAAAACAATAACAAGAAGTTATATTTATTAGTGCTTTTTATTTCATAGATTAGAATTGATTTATTGTCTTAGTGTCCTTTCATGTCTGCCTGAAAGACTCCCCATAAAATCTTTTGTAGCGTAGGTCTGTTATCTTGTTAACACCAATTTTTTTTTGCCTGTTTTGGTTTTATTTCCCTTTACATTAACCAAATTATATTTTTGCTCAATATTATTTCATTGTTTCATATATGTTGTGTTTAGCTGTATTTTGTTTTGCATTGTTGTGCATTATATTCCTTAGTATGAATGTAACACAATTTATTTATCTGTTCTACTGGTTGGTGGACTCTTCAGTTTCTAGGTTTAACTATCCAAGAAGAATTTGTGAGAATTATGTATATGTTAAGAATTGTGAGTGTTCTTATACACATCTGTCCCTGGGTACACACAATCATACACCTTTAGGGAATAGACCTAGCAGTAGAATTTCTGAATATATATAATCACAATGTGTTGGATATTGTCAAGAACTCTTTTTCAAAGTAGTTGTGTCTGTTATTACTCCCATTAGCAGCATGTGAGAATTGATTTTTAGATATTAGCCATATCTGTGGGTATGTAATGATATCACATTATGGCTTTAATTTGAAGTACTCTCATTACCCATGAGAGTAAGCACCATGTTATATATTTATTGACTGTAAGGATTTTTCTTTTGTGTAATACCTTTTTAAGTCTCTTCATGGTTTTTCCATTAAATTGTTGGTCTTTCTTCTATTGGCTTTGGTTAGGTTGTTCAGTGCTTGAGTAAAAAAAAACACTCCAAAATCCAGAAGCTTATTTTTGTTTGCAAATCTGCAATTGAAGCAAGTCTCAGCTAAGACAGGTTTTCTCTCTTCCCTTGTACATCAGCCAACATAGCTCAACTAGAGGCTGGAGGACCTACTTTCAAGATAGCTCACTCATAGCTGCCACCTTGGTACTGGCTATAGGTTGGTAGCGCACCCAGGGATATAGGTCCTAGGTCTCACTTTCTGTTCAGAAAGGCCTCTATCTGGGTTGCTTTTAGTTTTTTCATAACATAATTGCTTGGTTCCAAAACCTAGCGTTCCAAGAAAACAAGGCAGAAATGCATGGCATTTTTATGATCCAGCCTTGAAAATCACAGAGCATTGCTTTAACCATATTGGTTAGGGCAGTCACAAAGGCCTGCACTGTCAGAAGAGAGCATATGTTTAACATCTGTCGCATATTTATTTGCTGTGTGTTTATTTTCTATGGTAAAAAATCTAGTCAAATCTTTGCCCCCATTTTTTTTTTTYCCCTGTGGTTCTGGGGATTGAACMCAGGGCCTTGTGCATGCAAGGTAAGCACTCTCCCAATTGAGCTTTATCCCCAACTCTGCCCATTTTTTATTGGTCTTTTTTTTTTCCTATTTACTTCTTATGGAGTTTCTTGAATTCTTTCTATACTCTGTATACATGTCATTTAATAAGACAGAATTTAAAGTTATTTTCTCTCACATTTAAATTCTTGCCTTTCACATTTTCTTAACATTGTTTTTGGAAGAACAAATATTGTTTATTTTGGTGAAAATCAAGTTATCATTTTTCTTTGTATACTGTATGATATTATGTATATGAAATCTTTGCCTAGCTGCCACAATTTTTTTTCTTTAATTAATAAAGTTTGTTGTTTACAGTATATTAAAGTTTGTAACAAAACAGCAGAAAATAGAGTTCCCATGAATGCCTTGTTCCTTCCATACCACTTCTCCATACATACTCAAGTTTTATTTTATTTTATTTTTTTTTTAAAGAGAGAGGTGTGAGGGAGAGAGAGAGAAAATTTTAATATTTATTTTTTTTTTAGTTTTCGGCAGACACAACATCTTTCTTTGTATGTGGTGCTGAAGATCGAACCCGGGCCGCACGCATGCCAGGCGAGCGCGCTACCGCTTGAGCCACATCCCCAGCCCCTAACAACTCRAGTTTTAGAGAGAAACATTTATTAGAGTTCAGGAACCTACATTGATACACATCATTATTACTCAAGTCCATGATTTAAATTAGGGTTCACTCTTGGTTTTTATGATTTGTAGGTTTTAACAAATGTATACATATTCMTGTAATAATTCCTGTTTTCTATAATCAGACCCTACTCTATAAATAGCATATATGGACCCTCTTGTCATAAGATCTCTGGAGATCTATTTGATTCTTCCAATAGTAGAGCACTCAGTCAGGGCACCTAAAAGGAGATACAGAAAATTTGGGGACTTCTAGTTACAATAAAATCCTGAATATTTTCCAGAACATAAGAACTTCTGGGGCCTTCTACTGCCTGGTACTTGAAGTAATTGTCCTAATGCCATCCATTTTTGGTAGACTACAAATAAAATCCTTGATTCTACACCTTTCTCTTAATATAAAGGCATTTTTTCCTTTATAGGTATGAGACATGCTTTTGAAAATAAAAGCTGACAGCTTCCTTTTTTCCTTAGGTCTGACGGTAACTGCTGTAAAGGACTCAGGAGAATGGAATTTGGAGGCTGGGGCATTAGTACTTGCAGATGCAGGCCTTTGCTGTATCGATGAGTTTAACAGCCTTAAAGAACACGATAGAACCAGCATCCACGAAGCAATGGAACAACAAACCATAAGTGTTGCTAAGGCTGGGTAAGTATTTCTTTTCTTTAAAATCTATGGAAACAGATTATTTAATTCATGGTTTAGAGAAAATAGGAACCTTATTTGTTCTATCTGGATTATCAGCTATTACCATTCAAGATACACCTTTCAAGTTTTTCCTTATTAGAATGCAGAGGTATGTGAGGAAGTRAAAATGAGTTATTGGGGAAAAAGCAAGTATAAATGTAGATTGATATAACCAATGGAATGGATTTATGAAAAGTTTTCAATATGGGAATCAACTCATTTTTTTCTTTTATTCAGCAAATATTGTATTCTGGGCATATCATTGTATTAGGAATTTTGAAAGATTCAAGAAGGAAAAAAGATCATAGTTTCAGCTTTCAGTAGCCTCTTATACATCTATGAAAGGTTGACCACAGCATATGGAAACCTAAATAATAAGTAATATATATTTTCATAAGATGAAGTGCCTTTTGTGACTCAGTGATGCTCAAGATTGAAGTATATGAATCTCTGTCTACATATAACCAAAGGAATGAATAATAAGCCAGGTTTAGACAGAAATCCACTCACCCAGGCCCTGAGGTGGCTACCAGAAACTTACCTGACTATAAAGGTTAGCCACCTACACAAACAAGCTTCCAGGCCTTCCACAGGACTCTAGAGCTATCTCAACCCTAACGTTGCTATTAAGGGTGCAAGTAGAGCTGCCAGCAGTGTTTTCAAATAGTAGTGGGTACTTAGAAGCCAGACAGAAGCTGGTATATATAGATTCTATGAGATCTATTTATATATCTTAGTGAAAAAGTAATGGGAATTGAGGGAAGAATGAAAAGAGAACAGAATATAGCCCCCATAGGAAAAGCATACCAGAAAGAACTAGGCAGAACCATTATTAGATCTATTCATTTGTTCATTCACTCTGTTTCTTAAGAACCTGCCATATGCCAAGAACTGCCAAACACTAAGAAGTGCAACAATGCACTGAAAATTGTCCTTGAGATATTACTATTTGATTGGAAAAGATAGACAAAAAAAAATGAAAAAGTGGTAAGTTCATAATAAAAGTGTCACRAGAAAGCATAATTATGACTTCTAAACTTTTTAGAAAGGGAAATTAGACATATAGTTTTTAAGTGCCTTCCAAGAATGAATTTCTATGCCTCCATTTAATTGATATCTTTGGCGATTAGTAGATTTTATGTTTTATTTTCATGTGCCTTTTCCAGAGATAATCTGGGATATTTTGCAAGTTTTCTAAATAATTAATCCTTCTATCAGGAAAATTTTAAGACAAATTCTATGAATCTGTTTAAGAAAAGGAGAAAATTAGTGCCATATATAACAGACTACAGAATAAATATTTGGAAGCAGAAATATTTTATTAACCACCTTTACTATCTGACTCCTTGCAAAATGTGAATTAGTATGAACTTTTTGTGGTATCTAAAATATGCTGTGAGTTTCACAGTCAGCTTTCTCTAGCTGAACAATTTTCATGATACCAAGAGGCTAGACATCTTTTGATAACCATTTTATGCATTAGAACAATGCTTTTCACTGACTATGGCAATAACCAGTTTTATTGTTTTTGCAGTCCATCACAGAGCCTGTTTTTTTTTTGTTGTTGTTTTTGGTTTTGGTTTTTTTTGTGGTTATTGTTTTTTGAGATGGGAATTTCCACTAAATWGCCCAAGCTGGCCTCAAACTCTGGATCCTCTTGCCTTAGCCTCCTGAATAGCTGGGATTACAAGTGTGCACCACTCCACTCCTCTCCGAGCCATGCTTTTATAAAACACATAATAAAAATGGATTACTATAACAGTGAAAAGGCAAAGATCTACAAAATATAAGCCTAAAAAATCCTTATAAGAGAAATATAGATAGCCTACAAAAATCTCAACTCTGAAAATTTATCARAGCACTGAGGTCATAAACACAAGGAATCTTAATTTCAAAGTATAACAAGCCCCTCTAGGGAAAGTTGAAGCACACAAACTGTTTTACCATTGACAGAGCATGAAGGAAAAGGTGGCTGCCACAGAAATAAGACATAACTAAAAATTTCATAATTCCCAAAAGTTCAAGTGTGGGTTAGCATACCAGTTGAGAATAACTGGGAGCTCTAAACACAATGAGAACTCTTTTTCACTTGCAAGCTCTTTTCCAGTGGTCTGTACCAGATATGAGAAAAATTGAGCAGGGAAGAAAACCAGAGAGCTCCTCTTTTCTTCTCATCAGTAATGTTAGCAAAAGGAGGTGACTGCTTCTGGGTGATAGGCCTGAGACCCAGGATACCTCTTATTTGAAGCAATAGCTATAAATWACTGGGGGAACGACAGTAAGCCTTTGCATTTACAGGACCTCTGTGGAAAGGGAAGAACCAAACAACCCGTCTGATTCTGGATAAGTCCTTCGCTCCACCAGGAGACAGGCAAATGCACACTGATTCTCGATGAATARAGGCAAAAATTCTCTTGAGTCTAAGATGTTGAACCAATACAAATATAGTACAGAGCAGCAGTCTGCTACCATTGGAAGAAGGACAGAAAAATCCCTCTGCCCAAGAACCACCATACTTTCATGGCAGAGTCCAACAGTCATAGGTGGGAGGAAGAGAAAGCCTTATCCATCTGTATTCAATCCCATTCAAGAAGAGGCACATAGACCTTGCCTAAGAAAAAGGAGACTAAGATCCACCTTGGCCCCAAAATGAGCGTACATTGAATAACAAGCAACAACAGTGTGGCACTGGGGAAGATACAGGAGTATACAGAGAGACCCCCTCTATAATATAGATGTACAATGGTTGCTGTAGAGTAGTGACACTGACGATAATCCTCCAGCACTGCACTGTAATAACCCCCCACTCAGTGAAAGGTAAAGGCACCTCGATAGTGAAAGGTAAAGGCACCTCGATACTGAAAGGATTAAAAGTCTGTGGTACATAAGGTAACAATAATATCACCAATGTCCAGTTTAACTATGATGGCCTGATAGACACTGATGGCCTTTTAGAAGGAACCAGTCCTTTTCTGGTATAAACACTGTTTATCTCATTCTTTGCTGTGCTTCCACTCACTGTGCCTGGTACATGGTCAGAAATTACAAGGCAAATACAGAAGAAAAGAAAAATGGTGGGAGGAAAGAAGGGAGGAAAAAGGAAAAGAACATTTTGTTTTCAAAAGATAAAGTAATCAACAGAACCAGATTTAGTGATGAGACAGAAGTTGCAATTATAAGACACAAACTTTAAAATAACTATATATGTTGAAGTATCTAGTGAGAAAGAAAAACAGCATGAATGAAGAGAGACAAGACATAGGTAGAAATAGAAGCTTTAAATAAGTATCAACTGGAAAAGCCAAATAGTATACAATATTAGGAATTAAAAATGCCTTAGACTTCTGAGCAAACTAGATTATGCTGAAGAATGATTCAGTTAACTTATAGGTCTATAGTAATTACCTAAAACTAAACATGAAAAGACAGAAGAGTAAAAAATACATACATACAGTGATATAGCATGATGCCAAATTTTGTGACACATAGTTTACTAGAATCACAGAGGAAAAGGAGGCAGAAGGAATATTTAAAGAAGCCATGGTAATTAATTATACAAAAATTATTGATGAATATCAAATTACAAATTCAAAGGACTCAGGGGACTTCAAGCAGGAAAATACTACACAGGCACACATACACACACTCATACTATGTATCTGGACACATTATAATCATGCTGCTGAAATCCAAAGATAAACTCTTTAAAAGGCCAGAAGAAAAATAAAAACTTTTCATAAGGAAAAACAGAGATGAGAATTGAGAAGAAAATTTGTCAACCTAGGAAACAGCATTCAAAATTTACAGCAAAATATTTGTTTAGACAAGCAGATCTAAAGTAAGACATTTTTATTTAAAGGAAGTTCTCCAGACAGAAGAACATGATTCCCAGTGAAAATCTGGTTCTGCACAAATGAAGAGCATTGGAAATGGTAGGACATAAGAGAAAATTAAAAAATAATCAACAGAACCAGATTTAGTGATCATTTACCAAGGTAATTATCTATAGCAAAAATAGAAATACATGACAGTAGTAGCCTAAAGAACAGAAGGAGGAGATGGAAGTTTGCTGTTACAAAGTTTTTACGTTATCCATAAAGTGGTCCAATAATGTTTAAAGGTAGACAAATAACTTAACGATGTAAACTCTAGAAAAAAACATGAAAACAGAGGAGTCATAATAATAGCCAGTTATGGAGATAAAATGGAATCATAAAAAATAATCAGAAAGGGAACAAATAATAAATGGGACAAATAAAATACAATTAGCAAAATAACAGATTAATACAAAAAGAGTTTGTGGTACTGAGAGTTGAATCTAAGGCCTTTTGTATGTTAAGTATGTGCTCTGCCACTGAGCTACATACATGCCTAGCTCCAGGATGAATAGATTTAAATACAACTGTATGAATAATTATACTAATAATAAATTGTGTAAAACAATTAAAATTCAGGGACTGTCAGGTTGAATAAAAAAGCAAGCTCTGACTATACGATGCTCTACAGAAACAGACTTTAAATGCAGACACATCAGTAAGTTAAAAAAATGTAAAAAATACATTTATACAATAGAAACAAAAAAACCTGACAAGAAAATTACAGGAAAATAAAACTTCAAACAAATATCATCCATGAATATRGACACAAAAATTATTCCTAATACTTTAGTAAATTAAATTCAACACTAGATAAAGGATTAACTTTATAGCCAAGTAGGTCTTACCACAGAATGCAAGATTGGTGTAATGTGAAAATCAGTCAGTAATAATATACAATATTAGCAGAATAAAAAAAACTRTATCCCAAAATAGAAAGGGAAATTGTTTTTGACAAAATTAACTACTTATGATAAAATTTTCAGCAAAGTTCCTTTGTCTTTTAAATGGAATCTCTGAAAAACCTACAAAAAACATCACAGACTTAGTGGTAAAAGACCGAATGTTTCCCACTTAAGAGTAGGA